AGTGCTGCACTTGGGGTATACATCCATTCGGTAATTGCACAGGAGTTTGGACACAGCAGGATTTTGTGATTACACAGTTTAATTGTTCCTGCCTAATATAAAGGGCTATTTGTTTTTGACATTTGTCTTTCATATTCATCCACACTTTCTATTATGTTTTTGCTTGCTTCTCCCCCACTTGTCCCCTACCAATTCCTCCAGACGATTATTTGCCATTTCAATACACTCTGCCATGCACACCTCAGTTTAATTTTCTCATGCCTCTGCTCTTTCAGTTGTTTCTGTCTTGATAGCTCTCAGCCTGCTCCCCTACTTCTAATTCAGCTCCCACTCACTGAAAACCTCTCATGCTGATTTTACTTAATACACTATAATTAAGGGTAGGATTTTTCAGAGAGGTTTTCAGAGGTACATGCATAAGGGGATGGACTTTTCATGGTGCAAACTATTTATTGTGCTCGTTAGAAACAATGTTAAAATAAAGGTGGCTATAAACACTTCAGGTAGACACCTTTGACAAAGAATAGACAATAGGGGCCTTTGTGAGACCCCAGCAATGAAACTGTCTTAAAATGTCTCTCTCCATACTGCCTTGTTGAAAGGTGGGTTGCCACACACAATTATTATTCTCTCCAGTTAAAACTGAATAGGTGGGGGAGGACTGAGTAATAAACAAGATATAGTTCCTGAATTGTCTAGGTCTTCAAAACCAGCATATAATTAAACAACAAGCTGAGAGTGGTCAGATGCACTGCTATAGTTAGAAACAAAGTGCTTCCTTAACCTGGTTATTCGTGTCAGGGACAGCAATGCTGTGTTCAAGTGGCACTTACTATGTTTTTGATTTAAACTTCCCTGGACACTAATGTTTAGTGGAATTTGAGGAATTCCAAATGGCTTCACAAACCATTTCTTACTCTGATGAAGCAAAGAAAGAATAATACAAAGGGTAAAAATGCCTTCTCATCCTGCTCTCATCAGAGTATTATGGGAAACATGTAAATAAAATAAATCAGCACCTCATTCACCCTTCATCAACTGCCTAACAACTTGCAACCAGTTAATTACACACCTTTAAAGCACCTGTACAGGAGAAATTATTCAGAAAAGAGCTTCTGTATTGAGAAAGGACAGCACAGAAATACTGACTCAATACAGACCCCATACAGGTAAATTTAAGCCTTTAAATCTGACAATACTGAAAGAATGTATTGCATGTAATAGTAAGCTAAATGTTGTCTGCTTTATGCTAAGTATTTAATAATCATTAATCTACAATGATTGCTCTACATTTGGATTTTGCTACTAACCTTTGTAGCCTCTGCACTTGAAAGTGAGAGAAGGATTTACACATTACATAGAAGAATTGAATGCTAAGTTGATTAAATATATTTAAGAGTATTAAGCAATAAGTAATGTTAGGCTGAGTTACTTTTACATTTCTAAATACTTAGGGACCCATAGCTCAGGTTCAGTAAATATATTATTGTTATGACTAGCAGTAGAGCATGGACTTTATACTGATTTTGCAAATATTCTGGACTTGTCAGGCTTTGTTGAGCTTGCTTTAGCATTCCTGCAACTGTTTTACTTTGCTTATCTGTAACAACAATCTTATAATGATAAGGAAGAACTTCTCTCATGTCCTTGATTTCCACACTGGTGACCAGTGCTAGGCAGAAGGACATGAGGAAATGGAATGGAGCTGGATAAGGGGAAGTCAGATTGGACATAAGGAAAAGGTTCTTCACTGAAAGGGTGGTCAGTCACTGGAACAGGCTCCCCAGGGAAATGGTCACAGCCACAAACCTGCCAATGTTCAAGGGGCATCTAACTTAGAACTTAGCCACATCCTTTAGATTAGGTATTCCTGTGGGAACTGGGGAGCTGGACTCAAAGATTTTTATGGGTATCTTTCAAATTGAGATATTCCATGTTTCTGTGTTTTACTTTTTGGTAATTTTATATAATTGCGGGATACAATAATAACACATAGTAATATGTGGTAATATGCAGTTGGGAGAATGAAATGTTTATGCCCTTCATAATAATGCAATGCAGGGGACTACAGTGTTAGAATGACAGGAGTGGGGGGGAGGTGCAAGATGACACTGGAAACTTCAGGGTTGTAAACAAGTCAGTGTTGGTCAGCTAAAAATACACTGACCTGGGAAGTTGGGAAAAGCCAGTTGCAGGGGTATCAAAGGAAACAACTCCCATCACACTGAACCAAACCATCTAAAGACTAGTGGAAAACACCGAAGGGTGAGCAAAACACCAGGGAGGTGAATGTTAGGAAGTTGTTATAAAATTTTAGTTGTCTATTCTAGATGTGAGGTTTTATTCCCTTGCAATAGCATGGTTTTCTTTTTTTTTTTTTTTTTTTTTTTTTTTTTTTTTTTTTTTTTTTTTTTTTGTAATTATTAAATCTGACCTGAAAAACCTTTCATGAGCCTGTCAAGAATTTATGTTGACAACAGACTCTTGACTTTGCAAATCATGCTTGTTTTCTTCTTTCCTGTGTAAAAATATGAGTGTAGTAACAGTTTCTTTAGGAATACAAGGTTATTAACTTGATTATTGTAAGTTATTGATTTATAACTGATATATTTTCTGGCCCTCAAAGATTATGCTATTTTCACTGACCCATGATAGGATTTCAGGAATAAATTTATGTTTTAATTCTTCTCTTTCTCCCTGATGGAGAGGTCACTAGAGACCTCTCTAGTGCTCTGTGGATTACCTGACCAACTGTATGCAAAATCTACTTTATTCTGACCAGACTGTTTTTCAGTGTGTATGAGGCATAACATGAATTATATGTGATAGTCAAAGGTAGCAAGAGTTAGGTTCCTAGTCATGTAATGAAATGGAGATGTGTAACAATACAATACTGAAGATGCTGCAATCATATTTTTTACAATACAATAGCAAGTTTAAGATTTATTGCCCTCTGTTGTTCCACACTATTGATTGCTGCCCTTGGGCAACAAGTTTGTCAAGCTGCAGCTGGACTATATGAAGTGTTCATCTGCAATATCCATTCAGCAATCAGATTTTTTGATCCTGTGCCCTTTTCTCACTGCACCTTTCCTATGCTCTGAGGCAGTTGGATCTGGCCCAGTATTTTCCTCCAAAACACACTCCCTCTGAGCAGTACACTCAACACCACTCAAACATTAATTTCTTTACTATATGGAGGAAGATAAAAATTCCTTAAATACCCTACAGATAGTTGTATTTGCAAATGTGAGGACTTTAACTCAAAGCAGATCTTAAATACCTCCCATAGATTTTCTGTACTCTTAAAATGCAAAATGAAATTAACCTGGAGGAAACTGAAGTAAATGTGTTTTCAGCTTAAAGCTTGCTGTTTGAGAGTCTGTTGAGAGTCTTTTAAATGGATATTGCAGGTAAAAGTTTTGTGTATTGCCAAGAATGTTTTAGTAGTACTCTCAACTGAAAAGTAAGAGGTGGGTAAAAAGGGCTTGTTTTCTCTTTATTTCAGTCATAGATGCATCAAAGCATAGAAGCAGCAAAACATTTTCAGTACCTCCTTGTTAAGAGTTGAAAGCAAAAAACCTTGTAATTTACTTTTGGGTACCAATGCAATTGAGGTGGGAATACTTATTAAAAAAAGAAAAATAAAATGGTGCAAACATTGGTAATGCATAATTTGCAGTTCATAGCTTTAGTATCAGCTTTGATAAATTTCACTTTATCCACAACTAAATAAAGAGTAAGAATGGGCATTTCCTGTTAGTTGCTTAGCACACACCTGATTTCAAAATGAAGACAACTGAAAAGCCATGATTTGATCTTGAGAGGTTTATAGCAAAAATCTTTAATCTGAAAAGAGTTTTAGCTTAAGAACTTTAGAGGGAATTATTTCATACTGTCAGCTTCAAGTGCATGGAAACATTAAGGCACATTCCTGTAAGGTGTTTCTCCTATGTTACAATTTTGCAGCAATATTTGTAAACAATTAGTGAAGGTTTCACAGTAAAATATTTACATGAAAATGGAGATGGTGGATAGCAGTGGCCAAATACTCTATTAATTTCTAAACAGTGCACTGTAACCTACCTCTAGAATCTTAAAGACAGCACACTATTCAAATATGTTACAGAATGCATTAAATAAAGATTAACCAACAATATAGTAAGACTTATTTGATTGTAAAGGTAATGCTTATTTAAAAGTGTGTCAAGGGAAAACAAAAAGTGAGAGAGGGTATCATTCACTGCAGGGATACAGGAAGAGGTGTCACCTTACATTGCTTTCCAACAATGGCCTAACTAGTAGAATTCTCTCTCACCATTTAGTTAGGAACACCCTGAGCCAGAGTTAGTTTCTAGGCATGTGATAGTCTGTAATGGATTTTCCCTCCATGAATTCGCCCATTGACTCTTGAAGGTACATGAGCTATGTGGAAAAACCTCCTTTTTCAGATTATACTGGCACCTACACGTGTTAAGGCAATTAATAAAAACAACACTGAATGAAAACACAAGCCCTAGCGTATCCATCTGCACCAGCCAGGAAAAGCCGGCCACCATCCATCAAGCCAGTATAATGCAGCCAGCTCTATATACAGATGTAGATGACATAAGTCCTGATCACATCTGGTGTGTTCTAGGGGAAGTCATCGGCTGAACAAAAATCCTGCCCTTTTGTGTGGGTTACACTCTATGCAAGGTACTGAACAGCTATGTACCGCAATATTAAAAACTCCCAATATTACACATGACTATCCAAAGAGATTTATTGTTTTCCAAATGCCAAAAAATGGCCACATGATTACACTCCTTGTGTATTTGAATATCCACCCTCACTGAAGGAAAACAGCCACTGCAATGCAGCATCCCACGGTAACTAGAGGCTGAAAAAGGATCAGGCGGGGTGCCTGATTCCGTGCAGGGCCTGTCTGGCTCTGAGCCCGGCAGCCCCGGCCCAGCCCGGCCCGCGGCGGCTCGGGGCGGCCGTTCCGGGAGCACCGCGCGTCACGTGACGCGGCCGGCCGCGGCCCGCCCCCCGCGGCACCGAGCAAAGGGTAAGCGGCGGGAGCCACGGGAGCCGGGCGGAGCCACGGGAGCCGGGCGGGCTTGGAGAGCCGGGGCGGGGAGAGGCCGGGGAGCTGGCTGGTGGATGAGGGAGCGGGGACGGGCGTGAGCAGGGGGGATCCAGGTCGGGCGGCGCGGACAGGCGCGCGCCGGGCCCGGCCCGCTCGCGCCAGCCGTCGGTGCCGCCCCCGCCCCGCCCCGGCCCCGCCCCCGCCGCGCCGCCGCCGGGGCGGGTCCCTGAGGGGCCGGCGGGAGCGCCGCTCACTGGCGGCCGCCGCTGCTGCCGCCCCGCCCCTAGTCGGTGTGCGGGCCGTGCTTTACTCGCCTTTGTGATTACCGAGATGGCTGTTTCCCGTGGGAAGCGGCTGCGTTGGAAAGAAGCGGCGGCGTCAATAGCGAGAAGCGCCGCTGCTCTGTGCGCCCTCCGCCTGCGAGCGGCGGTGCGGCCGTGCCCCGCTGCCGGGCGAATGGGCTCGGGAGCGACGCCCGGGTTCCGCTGCCGTTCGTCGGCATCGTGTCCGCAGCTGGGACTTTGCCGTGCGCTGCGCTTGGTCCTGGACTAAATGCTGTTCTTACTTAACGTGTTTCTCTGCTTTATAAACTTCTGTCACATCTTGTATTTGTCCTATGAGGACTACTGTTAATGGCTGTTCTCCGGTATCTTGATTTAGTGGTTTCCTGCTACCCTACAGCCTGGACATCTCAGAGAGAATTTTTTTGTTGCTTTTTTTGTTTGTTTGTTTGCTTATAATGATACAACTTCTCCTAAAGTGGCTGCTTTCCCACGTCTGGTTCTTCTCCCGCAGTCTGTTCTTATTTAGATGCTTCTCTGTGTAAAGGCTGCAATGCTTGAAGCTGAAGAGATTCAGCCAGTTCCTAGACACGTCTCTCTGGTGTTCCTACATATTTTAAGGCAGATTTTCTCGGATGTTGGCAAAAACCTTAGATAGAAAAACTGCAGCTGAACAACAAGTAGACTCTAATATTGTAAAATCTTTTAATTAGCCAAGATTCCATTACAGAAGTTTTACTTTTTTGTATTACCTCCTTGTCCTGTGGAACTGGAATTCGTTGAGCACACCAAGATACCAGAACAGGCAAAGCTGCATTACATATCTCTCTAAGTAACTTTCTTGTACCACTATGTTTTTATTTTCTTTTTTTCCCCTAAAAGTATATACCACACATATTTGTTCATTGTTCATCTAGGAAGAAAATTGAATTTTTCAACAAAATATACTAGGAAGACAGAACCTCTTGAGGATTTTCAAGTTAAATGAAATAATTTATCTAGAAAACTTCAGAATTAAACTTGATTTTTTAAATATGCAGTTTGGAACTTAATACATATGCATTTTGTAAAAAAAAGTTAACATTTTTAACTACTGTATTTGGAAGATTTTCCAGGAGTCTTTAATTTAATTTACTTTTAAAATACAAGTTCTTTTATTTAACTTGTATGTTGTTACCAAAATAAACTCTGTCCTGGAACTCGTGGTTAACAACTATACACATGGTAACTAAATCTGGTTATATCTAGATTTCTGAAAATAATAATTTAAGCATGCCAGCAATAATTTTAAGATTCAAATGGTTTCACAGTCACAGTTGTAATTTTGTGCTGAGATCTTTATAAGTTGACTGGGGTGCCACAGATTTCAGCTGTTTCTGGAAATCCATATCCTTGTTCTTGTTGCTTTGCTTATTCTTGAGACCTGAGAAACTCACATGGCAGTCGAAGTTATCACAAATCCCAGACTCAAAATCAATATGGTGGGGAATGATGGGAGTACACCAGGTCTGCTCTTAACAACTCCCACAGTGACCTCTAGAGTTCAAGGATAAAACATGAGTTGTTAAAATAAAGGCAATTATTTTTTGAAGGCATAATTTTCTGTATTAGTTTATTACTATCCCCCAGACAGTAGGTGATAAGTAGTTGGTTTGTTAGGTTTTACTGATGGGTTTCTTGGGAATATTCTATCGGGGAGTCAGTCCCAATTTCCCTATGTCTATTCTTTCTCTTGGCATAATTTTTAAATACCATAATAAATATTATTTTCAGTCATTATTCTGTCCCTGTATACTTGGTGTATACTGGCATGCTTTAAAGAGTCATAGCTGAGAATCTTGTTTCTTCTATTAATTTGTTTTTGTATTCATTTGACTTTCCATTAGTCTAGAAGAAATTTCCCTGTTCCATATGAAACTTAGTTCTTAACCCAAAAGCAAAACCTTTTAGAACAGTTTGTTTCTGATTATATTAATGTTTGAAACTGAGTGCTGTTATTTTTATTTTTAGGCTGTTCATATAATGTTATCTGAATACTTAGTTATATATTTTGGTGAAAACTGAATATACCCCTTTTTTGTTGTCTTTGTTTTTGCCTAAGTTTGGTTCTGGATAACCACAACTAATATCACAGTTCTGTGGTGCTTGAAATAATCCAGAGAGTTGACTAGATGAATGTACAAATTCATTGAAATTCCAAGGTTACGCTATTGTTTACTGTAAATATTATTTACAAATCCAGTAAGTTTCAAAGCAACTCCTCATTTATGCAGTCTACTTGAGAGCAAAACATAGCAGCAGCTGGTAGTTATTTGCAAAGGAAACTTTAATTTAAACAATCAACTTTGGTTGCAGGCATTGAATCCTTAGGCTGAAAGCAACAGAGAACCCTGAGTTGTAGGAAGCTGAACATATGTTATGTTGCTCTCTTAAGTGAGTTCCAAAAATTGACGTAATTTAGTACTTTCCTTTATCTATGGTATATATTAATGATCTTTAGTTTCTTTGAAGGTGCAGGAACATGAATAAACCCAAATATTGTAACTTGTTTGTTAGAAGAACTGCTAATCTGCCAATTGCCTCTGTGATAGTACTTGGAAGATATTTCATTACATCTGAAGTTTGAAGTGCTGGGAAAAAGTATGATTTGTAACAATTACTTATGTTTTTAATTGTAATTCTTCTTCTTGATGCTTATGTTTATAAAATGGAATCCTGAATAACTTGTCAGAGCTCAGGAATGGCTAGTTACTTTCCATCCTAAACTAATTGTTAATTTGATTGCTGAGAGTAACTTTGGTCTATAGCTGTGTTTTCTTCTAGTTTTGCTTATATTTGAAAAGTGAAATGTTTTGTTTGGAAATACAAGATTGTCAGTTAGGGTAAAATTTGTGTACTTGAAACACAAAATTAATTTCTAAGAATAAGAAATATGAATTTCTTTCCAGGTACAACCAACACATCAACTAAGCCTTTGTACATGACATAGATCCCAGTGATGGCATATTGTATTAAAAGAAGAATCAGTTCTGCATTAAACTGATTGTTTTCCCCCAGCAATAATTCTGTGACTGATATGTTGATGATTATTGTGGTTTGAGCTTTTCTATTTGGTTTGTGAGCTGCAAGCTCATTATGGTTGATCTGGTTTTGTCTGCTTCTGGGAACTTCTGTGTGTGTTACAGTACTGAGAGGATTAAAAAAATTGATTTCTATTATTGGTTTTCTTTACTGTGGTATACTGGAAAAAAATCTACATATTTCATAGGCCTGGGAGCTATTACATGGAAATTGTAATTGCTTGAATTCAAGTAAAGGCATAAGAAAATGGCACAAGATGGAGTTAAAACTAACAAAATCTGCTGCTTTGTATTTGGAGCAAGCAAAATATCTGGGTGTCAGAACAAAAAGACTAATTTAGAGAAAAGAAAAAAGAAAAGCAGACCATACATGTGCAGTTGCTGAAACTGCAGATTAGGTTATGATTTTCTTTTTCAGTAACACAACAGTTGTTTCCATGACCTGAGATATTTCCAAACTCAAAATAGAGGGCTGTTCTTTCATGTCTGTATGCTAGGGCATAGAGGGAGAGTAATATAATAGAGGAATAGGATGAGTAAAACCTGTGCAGAGTATAAATACATGAATTGAATAGACATGTTACCACTATAGTGGAATAATAGCAGGATAGAGTTGGCTTTATTGAAGGATAAGTGAGAGCTCCTTTTGGAACCAGATAGGATTTTTGAATAAAAACTTAAATGCACTGATCTGTATTGATTATTTTAACTGAAAACTTATGGACTAGTCTATTTTGATTCTTCTGTGGCATTCATCACCATCATGTCCAAGCCTGTACTAGGATAAATATATGTGATTTAAATCAGCCTAGTAAAAACTCTGCATACTTGTACCCTTGCAGTAATCACTGTAATATAAAAGTTATAGAAATGTAAAAACTAAAGTGGGAAATCAGGCTCAGGCCTAAATACTGCAGTATTTAGCTCTGGCCTTGTATCATTAAAGATTGTAGAAGAAGAATGTGTTAAAAAGATCACATAAATTCTTATGCTGAATGGTATCCTGTTAATCATGGTTGTTAAGCCAGGTATTACCTCATCTTCTTTAAGTTAGGCTAGTCTTAAAACAAAAGCTCTTGTCCTCATTTTTATGTTTTAAAGGACACAATAAAATTTGGCTTATTCAAGTGTAGAGTTTTTTGTTATGAAAGTTTTCTTTATTTTCAAGCCAAGTATCCTGAATTCTAGTGTGGTTCTATAAATTTTCATTTATAGAAAAATGTATATTTTGTTTGACAGAAAAGTTGATTGTTTCAACGGATTCTTGAACTATATATCATATAGTTACTAATTCTTGAACAAGATGAAATAGGTAATTTCACACTAATTTAGCAGTCTTGGTGGGGTAGTTGTTTTGCATATAGGTTGTAATTCCCTCATCCATGTTCCCTCATGTCTTCTTGTAGAAGCACATCAGGGGCCATTCTATTTCCTTTGCACATGACTGCTAATGCCTTGTTTTTACAGCTATTTTTCCTATCATACTTCTGTGGGTAATTTTTAAGTACCTAGGTTTGCAAATATATTGTAACCTGGGGCTTTCTGAATTACTTCATGATTTTCCGCAGGCTGTGTGATAAACAGTGTCTTCTAATGTGCAGGCAAGTGTAAGAAAAAATAAACATTTTATACACAGAGAGCTATCTAAATAGCATCTCTGCTCCATATGTTGTAGTACCCACGAGAGACTCATTATAATCCCTGGACCTTTTGTGCACCAAATACTTCAGTCCGGATAATGCTGTGCTCCATCTGCCTTAATCTCTGAGCTGCACAATGTGAAATTCTTAATGCTTTGACCTG